TTTTTTTTTTTTTTTTTTTTTCGATGGGTTTCGTTTTTGGAAACCTACGGCTAGAACCCGGTTGCCTCTTTAACGACGTGAAGGAGCAAGGATTCAAGAGGGAACGATGACAGTGGTGTTCGCGTCGATCGCCTTTCGAAACTCAAAGGGAGTCCAGAATCAAGATGGGATAGGACGACGAATGAACTGTTGAAGGAGGCGGTGCTCGGCCACGGAAATGCCCGTAGTTTCCGAAGAGGCTGTGCCGAGGTTTCGAACAAGTGCATCGAGGGACGAAGAAAGAAACGTGTAAGAAGAAGAGGGGACAAGAAAATGGGGATCGATGATCAACGACTTGATTTTTCTTGAGAATGTGGTTCTTGGAGACGCGAAGACGCGCCATGAAGAAAAGATCTTCCTGGTTGGTATCAAAGAGCAACGATTTGAATTAGAGATAAAGCGGTACGAGATACATCCGGAGGAGTGAGAGAGGAAGGGAGATATGGAGTAGAAACGTCTGGTAGTATACGAGAATTTTCGTGTTTGGAGAAGGAAAAGTGGGATGAAGGAAAACGCGAAACGATGACCAATACGGATAACGGAATCAATACGGCACGCGAGGTTCTCGGATCTTGGGCGAGCTTCTCTTAGGCACTACCGTCCGTGTTTCACTCTGCAGATACAACTAGGCGTAGGCAAACTGTACGTACAAGCGATTTACGATGTGTGTATGTGTGTCGGTAATATTTGTCTGGAACGAAATACACGGTATATCTCGTTGTTTTTGAAAGATCATAAGGATACATTAAGAATGGAAAAAAGGGGAGAGAATCTGGGAGCGAATGGGGAAAATAAGAAGAATACATAGGACATATTTTTTAGATGATTTGACGATGAAAATCTGGGCGATAAAGAGAACAAAAAGTAACGTTAATTATTAATATTAAAGCATTAGCAGATACGACACACAGGGAGAAGAGCGACGACACAAACAAAAGAAAAAAGAAGAAAAAACAAAAATAAAATAGAATGCAAGAGAAAAGAAATACGGAAGAAAAATGAAATTAAGAGGGGAAAAAGGCGGATAATCGAGAGCTGTATTTTAATATGATACATTTTACACACTCGTGAGACACTCGTCAATGTATGCGCATCTGCCGCCTGTGCTTCTAGTGCTTTGAGCGTTCATTGTTTCTGAGTCCTTTTGAATGGTCAACCTGATCGTATATCAACCTTTTGTATGTGTAATATTTCCCCTAGTAGTCTCTCTGTAGACTTTGAAAGATCGACCATAATATCTCGGTTCCAATGTTCCAACAATAAATTCGAATTAATTTCTAATCGAATCCAACTAAAACATATTTTTTAAATTGGTAAATTATTATTGGAGTAATTGCTGGTGGGATTTCATAATCAAAGGGTTAGATGGACGATCAGTGTATTAGATAGCTGCCTCATAAGGCAGCGAAACAAGGAAGAAAAACAAGGATTGTTTCGGAGGGTAAAAGCAAGAAAGGGTAAAATTAAAAACGCGCGTTTAAGGTACGCATTAACCGCTATGAAGTTTGCGAATTATTCGATTCAGGGGCATTGCTAATATATTACATCATTTTACGTTTGCTTCAAGGAACGTTTGGCTGACAGCTAAAATCCGTCAGAGTTGGATGATACGAAAGAGAAAAAGAACTAGTTCCATTATTTAAAGGAAAAGTTAGATAATTCTGACTAATCTCGTTAAAGATGACGAGAGCGAGGAATTATATTTTTGAAGAATTTTAATTTTGGATTGTTCTATGTTGTTTCGTTGACCTACGCAATCTGAAAATTAATCCAATCCAATTAAATCTATTTCTGATTTTTCCTTGCATTTTGTACTTTATGTTTGGAACACCTATCTCCTCTATGTATCAAGTACTATTTTTCATACTTGAGTAGAAAATTTCTTTGCAAAACCACTAATTGTAGGCGAATTATGGCAACGACAGCCAATTGTTTCTTCGAAACTCCAAATAAAAAAGATATAGGTATATTATATATATATATCTATATACACATATAACGTTACAACAACTCTGAACAAATCTTCAGAGTAGCAAACGATCTGCTTTCAGTCCAGAAGAAATATTTTAAGATGGAGAGAGGACGACTATTGAACAAATTTTTTTTTGTATTATCGTACCTCTTATAAAAAAAGACAACAGTTACATAGAAAGAGTGTACTGTAAAATTAACTTGATTTTTTCCTGGAAACAGAAGCATCCTGGGATTTCTTCTGGACTACAGCAGAACGTATGCCTTAACCCTTTCGGTGTTGAAAATAATTGCTCGTATTCTGCATAGAACAAACCACCCACTCACCGGGAGGGTTGAACGTGTTACATATACCTATGCATTGTACGTATCGTGTGTGCATGTGCGTGCGTGTACAGTTGTATCAGTAAATCGTTGACGATGCAATTGAGAAAGGATTGCACAGGGGCGGATACGGCCTTCCGTGCGCCCGTTGATCTCCATCGAGAATTGTATTTTTGTATTCGAAGCGACACATAATCTATATTTTAATCGATCACGAATCGTATATAGAACAGCACGTAATAACTTAGAGCCAATTCCAACCTTTGAAGCGATTCATTTCTCGGGTTTCGAATATTACCATTCGGTTCTATTCACCGCAACATCCTCTCTATTTTACGTTCGTTCACTCAAGTGGAGGAACGAAGAGAAAGAGGAAAACGGTTCGAAGGTGTTACTTTGCTCTCTTCTTTCTTGACGTTAAGTGCGTCATGTGATGAATTGATTACCATGTATCGCGTTGATGCAATCCTATTCAAGATCGGTAACACAATGATCTATGGTATGTACTGATTGATCGTTTGGTTCTAAGGCTAATCGAAACACTAACGTCGGATACAACCAAATGCAAGGATAGAGATGACAATATTTTCGCCAGCGAAAGTTAGGAATGCTAATGTTTACTGTGGTGCAAAGTTCATCGCGTGAACGATAACGTCAAGAAAGAGTTAATAATTTTAAGGGAAAAACAAGACAAAAGCAAAACGCTAATCACAAAATAATCGTTTCACTTTGGAGTTAGTCCGGGGGATGAAGAACGCGTTTTAACCCTTGTATTGGCAGAAGAATTTTCGATTCTCTTAGAATTACGAAAGCATTTTAGGAGTTCCAAGATTTATCCCACGAAACACGATTACACGTAGACGTTAAGTAGATGTTAGAGTGTTTGCATGCAGTTTTATGCGCAAAATTCATGCACGTTGCCTGGAGCAACATTGCCAAGCAAGGAGTTAAAACCGACAGCTCCATCGTCGCGACTATCAAACAAATTTCTATAAGCTTTTCCTCTATCGATGCAGAGTCGACTCATTGTCGGATGGTATATTAATCGAACAAGATTTTAAACGGTGCAACACGGACTCCGTTATCGAAGAACGACGAACAGAACTATTTTGAACGATTCGAAGCCGTGTGTACAAATTCTACGCGCTCTTCTCTACGGTTCGACTTATTTTTAACCGCTTTTACAATCCTTTTTCCATCGGCGGAATGGTTAGAAGTTTCCAAGAGACAGTCCGTCGTCCCATGTGTCCGTCACAGAGATATTTTTCTTGCGGATGAATTTGGAAAGGAAAACATAACGACGACACATGTCTCTATTTTCCAAGAAAGTCGCGAACCAGAGCTCTATCTCGACGAGACGCTCTCTAGGTTCTTGCATTCTGTTTTAATACGCGTTCTTCGGCTCGATAACAAAATAGTAGGAACGAACGAAATTTTTTGACCACGAACAGATTAGGGTGAAGCATTATTTAGTTATTTTAGTTTAATTTCCTTCTCGAAGGGCAAAATAAGATGAAGAGGTAGAACTCGATGAATGGTGTGTACTTGTGCGTTTGCCTTTCAGTGCTCGATATACATCACTGTATATTACATGTACGATAGAGCTGTACATATAGGAAAGTACAATAATTGCCAAAATAATCATGGCGTGGAGCGACAGAGTCTCAGTCTTTATTCCGTGTGTTGCGCCAGTCGGTACATCTGCAAGATGGGCAAACGATTCTTTACCAATCCATTATGAATTTTACCCACGAAGCGAGTACTTGGATATTGGATTCGTGCGAATGTAAATTTTATCCGAAAATCTTTAACTTTGACGAAGATTTTAAACGTAGTAAGATTTAATTTAGTCGCATGCCCCGTGTTTCGAATCACTTGTCCATCGTTATAATACGTTGCTAGTTACGTCACTGTGAGAATCAATGCAATGAC